CCATGATAGCCGCGAGCTCGGAGCCAACCTGCTGCGCTACGAACCTTGGTAAGATCTTTCAACCGATGTTCCTGACAGAAACATACATGTGGTCGAGCGTCGCCTCCCCAACTTTTCTGCCAGTCCAAGCAGCCCTGGAACGAGCTCCATGCGCTTGCGTTGATCGTCCACAGCCTCCACCGTTGCTGTGCACGCTGTGGCCTGGCCGCCTGGCTAAAGCCCCTGCCTGCGCCGCTTGACCCCGAGGGCCTCCTGCGCATGCAGCAGCTGCCGCTTGGCGTCTGCCTGGGCTTCAGCACCTTCAGCAGCTCGCAGTGCTTCGGCAGCGGCTCGAACAGCTTCCGCTCGAGCCTCGAAGTCATCCCCATTGAGCTGCTCCATGTCGATATCAGCATCTCCTGCTGCGACATCTCCCCCAGGAGGTTCAGCAGCAGCATCAGTAGCATGGTCATTCCCCCCATGCGGGGGTCGCCCGATCTTCGCGAGGATGATCGGCTTGAGTATCTCCCACTTGTCCGACCCAAGGAAGGCCTGCACTTCAGGATCCTGCGCCTCCTCGGGCTTGATCTCCAGCTTGAAGGAGCCCGACGGCTTAGGCTCCCCGTCGGACTGAGCAATGAGAGCAGCCGTCCGCTTGTACTCGGCGTCGAGCTTGTCCACCTCGAGCTTCTTCGCCTCAAGCTGCAGCCTGCGCTCGTCGATCGTCACTTGCAGCTTCTGCATCTGCGCGGTCTTCTCGACGATCTCGGCCTCCAATTTTGCACTGGCCAGGCGGGCCTTGTGCAAATCCTGGGCCGTCCTGCGATGAGCGATCGCGGGCGTGCGCAACGCCTTCTGCTGCTCCAGTATGCTCTTGATCTTCTGAATCGTCGCGGCACGAATGGGGTCATCATCGGGCCCAGGCAGACTCTTGAGCACCGACTCGTACTGCCCCAGCTGCGCCGTGAGCTTCTCTCGCTTGACCTTCTCATCATCAGACTCGAGCAGGGGGCCCATGTCCGACGACGCCTTCTTTGCCTGGGCCCACGGAGCCTCGGTCGGGCTGGCAGGTGGCGGCGGCTCCCCCTTACCAACGAACGACCTGATGAGCTTCTCCATCTCAGCGAGCCTCTTGCTGGTGTCGTCCTTGCCTTTGCTCTTCGATGATGGCGGCCCCGACTGACCAGGTGGCAAGGCCGCATCCGCCGCCTTGTGGGCCTTCCAAGCCTCGTTCCTGATCCGTAGTGGTGCCTCATTCCCACACTGACAACGAATGCGCGATGCCCAGTTCGCCGCCGCTGAGCATCTCCCACACGCCCAAAAGGGCCGCCTCGGCCCACGGAGCACCGTGGGGGCAGGCGGCGGTTCGGGCGCCATTGCACCTTCCTCGTTGTGAATCTCTGCGCTCCCTGGGAGCGACGCACAGTCAGCCAAGTTGACTCGCTGCAGCGGCGCCGTTCTGAAGACAGCTGCAGCAAGCCCAAAACACCTGGGCCAGAACGGCTTCGCAGGAGGAGGAGGAGGAGGGGGAGGGCGAGGAGGAGGAGACCAGCGCACTCAGGAATAAGGAGGAGGAGGCCGAGGCGGAGGAGGAGAAGGAGGAGGAGGAGGAGGAGGACAAGAAGGAGGAGGAGGAGGAGGCGGAGGAGGAGGAGGCGGAGGAGGAGAGGGGCGGCCCTCGCCGAACAAGTGCACGCGTCCGAATGATGCCAGGCCCCTGGGGGCTGCCGTGTCGCTCAGCCCCAGGGTTTGCCGTTGTTTGGAACATCGGCCGCCCTCCGTCCCCGTCGAGCGGGAGAGCGCGGCCTGTGAGAAAGGTGCTGGAGGGGCCCATGGGACACACAGATAAATACACACAGATAGAAAGAGTCCCCATAGTTTCCCATATTCTCTGGGTTGTTGTCTTCCCATCCACTTCCCATATTTTCCTCTATTTTCTGGGGAGTCGACGAGTCATTGTGTCTGTGTGTGTTTTTGTTCCCCCTCCTGAGATACTGCCCTCCATCCGTACAGCCGTCAGGCACTTTCTGACGAGGGGGTGTGTCGACGCCTCTCCTTGGGGGGAAGGGGGAAACCATGTTTTAAACTGTCTCCACACAATATGTTTAAAAAGCAAGTTTTAGACATTATTGGACTACGTTTTGGCGAATGTATCGCGTCGGACCTACGTTTTCAACCTACGTGTTGAGCTCCGTATTAATACGCTACGTGTTGCGTGTTGCGTATCGGTGCAACTAGGCAGGGGGAGGGGGGAAAGGCTTCTCAGAAGAAGGCCGCTCTTTAGAAGGCGCCGGCAACCCCACGTCTTTAGACGAGGCGCGCGCCTTCTCAGAAGCAGGGGCGCGTCTAAGAACCGTTCCCCCCCCTACGCACCTCTGCGCGTGGCCGAAATGGCCAGCTGGCAGAAGACGGATGCTGCGAATCGCCCACACGCCGTGGAGATAACGGGGGATATGCCGACCCCTGTCCCAGGCCTCGTGGGGGTTCCGAATGGGCCATAGATTGGGGGCCCTGCCCTGGG